ATCTGGTGGGATGGGCAGAAACCACTGTAGAAAGGCGGTCCTGCAAGTAATGAGGCCCATGTGATGTAGATACTTTCTATTTTAACTTTTGGGCCAAGGATTCTTAAGGCAAAGATGCAACATTATTTTCTTTCACTTACTTACCAATTCCTTGAGCAACTGTTCTAGGTTTATTTCCTTTGTCTCAGATTTTTATGTCCACTCTTCAGACAAAGCCTAACTCTCACATAATGCTAAGCCTATTTGGCCTAGCATGATGAACAACCAGACTGTTGGCTTATTCAACAGTGGTTAAATTGAATCCATGTATAATGTTACCTGTAATTTCAGTCTCTGTTTTCACCTATTCTACCCATTGAAACTGTTCTTCACAATTAAGTTTAAATCATGTTGTTCAAATAAATTACGTTTCCCACTCTGCAGAAATAAATTTGATTTTAGTAGCTTTAATATTTTTAAACATGACATATAGAAGCACTTGTTCCAGGCAGTTAGGCTTACATGGTATGTTTACAGTTCCTGGCTAATCAGTTTTAGTAGTAGTTGCTCATTTTATTAAGCCAGAGTCTTATCCACAATTCCTTTTTTATAGATGTAAATGTGAGAATTGATTACAGATAGTCCTCAACTTACAATGGCAATTGGGACTAGAATTTCTGTCACTAAGTGATGCAGTTGTAAAGTGCAACCTCATCGCTTAGTGATGGCAATCTCTGCAGTCCTGGTTGCCATTGTTAACTGAATCCCACAGTTGCTAGGCAAGGCAACTTCCTCCCGGCTTCTCACAGCCAAAGTCAGTGGGGAAGCCAGCAAGAAGTTGCAAGTCCCAGGCTCACAGGCAGATAAGTGGCTGCTTCCAGGTGGAGGAGGGGTGCACAACAGGCGTGGGTTGGGGGTGCGAGGGAGTGTGCAAGAGACGTAGGTCAGGGAGAGTGCACAAGTGACTGGTGTGGCGCAAGCACAGAGGGGCTGGGGAGGGTGCTCAGGTGGAGGAGACATACTCCAGCAACTTGTGAACTTCCCTGCCAGCTTTCCCATTGACTTTCTGGGGAAGCCAGCAGGGAAGGTTGCAAATGGCGTTCAGGTGATCGTGGGGTGCTTGACAACCAGTTGTAAGTGTGAATGGGTTGCCAAGCACCCAGTTCGTGATCATGTGACCATGGGGGTGCTTGGATGGCTGGATCTCCAAGGACCAGTCCTAACCATCATTCATTCAACACTGTCATAACTTGGAACAGCCACTGACCAAATGGTCATAAGTTGCGAACTGCCTATACAGAATAGAATTTTAATATCCTGTCTGCTCCTTAAATCAGATCTTCTGTTAGTGAAGGAACGGGATTGAGAATTCCAGGCAGAGCAACTATTGATGGAGGCTGGCATCAGATTGTCTGTTCAAGAGAGATTTGGCACAGGTAAGAAAAATCACTAGTAAGTGTATGTTCAAGAACTACTCTTTATTTCAAATTTCTTTTTATCTTCCAGTATTTGGCTAATATGAATATCTAGAAAATAGGGTGAAGCTTACTGTACAGTGATCTGTTTGCATGTTGCTTCTGCCTTCCTCTGATGCTTTGCCTGATTGGGAATTTATTTGGAAGTAATTGGAAGAAATGCAGTGTCTTATTTTAATTGCATCAAATACTCATAATGATATTTCTTTCTGATTAGGTTATAGTTGCAACCCTTAAAATCCCAGTTTTGTCCCAGTTTTTTCAGGGACAAAAGTCACAAGACACATGACATAAAGTTACTTCATCCATAGAACTAGAGCAAATAATTTAATATTCCTATGTTGGAATATATTTTGTTCTAGAGTTAGTTTCTGCTAATGTTGCTGCTTTCTGTTACAGGGGTGCACGGAAGCCCTTGAGAGGGGCAACAAGGCCACAGCGTTGCAGGCGTTCCAAATCTCCTGTTCTGCATCCCCCAAAGTTTACATACTGCAGCATGAAAGCATCTTCTGTAAATAACCAACTGAAACACAAAAGTCAGATTGATGCTTCAAAAAATAAAATTGGTCCAGATCCTAATGTTTCGGAAGAGGTGTACCTAAGTGGAAAGAAATGTCCGCTTTTTGACAGCAGCAACTGCAGAAAAAGCAGAGCAGGACATCAGAAAACATTTACTAGCGTGCAGTCTTCAAAGAATTTGGGAAGAAATTGCCATGCTTTTTCTTTGACCTTTGAAACCCGCCTGGATCCTAGCCAGCCTTCAGATTTCCAGTCTCTCTCCAAGCTGAGTTATGAGAAGCAGTGCCCGTGCATGGACAAAGAATGGCAAGCAATAGAAACATACTCCTTTTCTGGTTTGCGGAGCGTCTTATCAGAGTGTGAAAAAGCAGTCCTGGAAGTGCGTTCACAATCTTTGCCAAACCGATCACCTTCTAGTACAGGTTCGTCAGGCTCTGCCCGGTCTTGTTCTGAGCAAGCTCGAGTCTTTGTGGATGATGTGACTATTGAAGATCTTTCTGGGTACATGGAGTATTACTTATATATTCCCAAGAAAATGTCTCACATGGCAGAGATGATGTACACTTGAGATGAGAATCATGGGTTTGAAATTCAATGGTGGTAGTGAGATGTTTCCTCAGTGCTGTAGATGGAAATGTGTCCATTGTCAATGCTGCGTGTTTGATCAAATGTTTATTTGCACCATATAATGTAGTTTTTTAAATAAAGTTAAAAAGACAATATCATATGTTTAAAGGTGCATTGCATTAAATTAGAGATTTAAGAATGTACCTGGATAAAGTTTTTCTCCTCTTGATACAATCTAAAGTTCTCTCCGTTTTAAGAACCTTAAACAAGAATTTTCTTTAAATAAAAGTTTTCCTAAAATGCAGCAAATTTTGTAGATTTCAAATTAAATTTATTAAGTTAAGTAAAAGATTAATCAGATCTACTGTTGGGTCTCTAGATAAATTTGCAGTAAATTGGCAAGGATTTTCATTTTTGAATTTTTTTTTTCATAAAAGCAGTATTTTCTCATGCTCTGAAGTGAAGAAAGCTTGAGCTAAATAGGAATGGACTTTTTTTGTGACAGAACTTTGAGCTCATATCAGCTCTCATAATGAAAAAAAAATCTTAGGCTCAGGAGGTTGCACAGATATCTTCTTAACTTACTCTGTAAGCATAGGATTTGGTTAACACATTATGCTAAACCAAAATGTTATTTAGTTTGACAAGCATGACTTGCAACTGGCCCTAAATGGTTGGATTTCTTAGGAAGAAAACGAATAGATCCCACAAGCCTAAAGACTACTCAATCCTGCTTTAGTCAGACATTTCAGATGAGTGAAAAGTTAAAATAGTTATGTGCAGCTCCTTGTATAGGATTGAACATGAGTCTGTGTAATTTTCAAAGGAGCAGATAATATATTTTTAGTATAATTGAAATTTTCTCCTGAATAATTTTGCTGATCTGAAAGTCGTCTAACTTTTCTTAATGTCTCAGCTTCTGGCAAAAATTATATGCCCCTAAATTGATTTTAATTAGATCAATATTTCGTCGGTAAATATAAGCATAGGTTTTCTTCTTGAACATCCTACAATAAGCTTCTTATGTAGTTCTCCAGTCCTGGCTTTTCTTTCTTTTTTTAGTAAGCCATAGTGGCTAAATGTAAACATCACACTGTGCCACCAACTAACCAATATATGGAATAGTACAGTATGTGAACCCAGCTTTTGAATAAGCTGGTCTTGGCCTTGTTTGCATAATACAGGCAAATTAGGCATAACTTCTCTCAGTTGATCAGGTGATCTTTGTCCATAGCACATGATCTTGGATGACTTCATCAGTCACCTGATGGCCATATTTTCAGTCCTCTTTGGCACCACAAAGGAGACTGGAGGCTGTCCCTTCCTACTTCACTTCTTACCATTTTTATTGTTCTTACCTGCAAGGAGAAAAGGCATGATGGCTTTATGGGGTTGGGACCACCAAGAGCAGGTTTGGGTAGGTTATACTGTCTCCCACCTAGTTTTCCTCTTTTTTCAAAACCAAGACCCATGTGGCCACAGGGAATGAAATCCAAAGTGATTACATAAACAGTGTTTAGAGAAGCACTGTTTTCATAAGGCCTTTCTAAAACTTTGTTATGGCTGTTGGAAAGGTCAATTAACATTTTAAATTCACATGACATAGGTAAAGTTACTTCACCAAATGAATTAGTTTAGCCCAGATTGGGTCATTTGGGGCTAAATCTAGCACCCTCTAGGATAGTAGCTGTGTCAACCTAAGTTTATGGGTTCACATGACATGCTTGTCCTCCTGCCCACAAGCAAACGTGTCATGTGAACAGGGCCATTGACTTCCTCCAAGCACCATTGTAACAAGACAAATTCTTCAAAAATGTGTAATATCATATAGCTAGGTCAACTGCATATGCCACACAGATTTCAGCTTTTCATTTACATTAGGGCCCTTCAAAAGAAAAAATATTAATTTACAATTCATATTCTACATGTCGCACGATCTTATAGCTGAGGTCAAGGAAGTGCTACGAATATAGCACTTTTGAATAAGCTGGCCTTGGCCTTGTTTGCATAACAGGCAAATTCATTTTCTTTACTATTTTTAGTATGTATTTAAATTAAATAATGTATTAAAACAAATGTGTGCTAGCTATGAATTTTCTAGTTAATATGTCCCGTCACTGAAATTTGTTACTGAAAGTAGTTAAATCAGCCATAAGCCAGTAGATGGACAAAGGGAATCTCAGAGCTACCTAAGTGCCTCCGTGAGGAGAAAACAAAAAGACTTCCATGATAAAACATCCATCTCTTATTCTCCAGAACTTTGAAGAAAACGATTTGAATAGGCAACGCTTGGCATCCCATGGAATTAAAAAAGCAAGTGAAAATGTTAAGAAATAATTGTGAGTTTATTTTATTTATTTATTTATTTATTTATTTGACTTGTCCCCACCATCTCT